CCCTCCGCCAAAATACGCCTTTTTGGTGGACCGTGGGATTCGGTGAATTCGGGGACGGCAGGTTTGGTTTTGGGGGAGAAACGGTGACGCCGCAGGAGCTCTGCCGCCAGCGGGAATTTGAAGGCAGCTCCCACGCGGGTTTGGGGTTTTTTAGGGATTATAGATAAAACCGCCACGGTGGCACCTATGGGTGTTAAAACACCGCGCCGGTGAAATCCCAAATCTTCCAGCGGAGCCGCTGCCCGCACCGGGAGGGGAATCCAGCAGCGCGGTCTTTCAAGCAAAACAGGCGTCGCGCTTCAGCGCCCACGGGTTGGGGATTTGCATACACGCCCAGAAAACACGCTCACACCTCGTCTTCGCCGGTGTCTCTTCCCTTTTTTGGGGGTTTTTTAATCTAAACCCTGGGAAAAAAGGTGCGCGCCGACCCTCCTCGGCGCCGCATTGGCTCGATTGACATGAGTTTTGGTTCAAATGGCAATCGAAGCACTTCATTTATTAATATTTCTTTCGTGATTAACCAGCAAGCGATACGGCGAGCCTCGGCGCAACAGGTAAACGGCTCACAAAATGTTAACAAACATCCCAAAAATCTCTAAAAAAACCCCCCCCAAAAAGAGTGACTCCTTCAAAATGTTCAACCCCTTCACCACAGCGCTGTGCCCACCCGCAAGCAGTGCACCCCGCTTTTGGGAAGTGGGGTACCCATTTTCGGACACCTCTTTTCCCCGGAGCCTCGTGTTTTCACCGTGCACTTGGTTTTGCCGGGTTTTTCCTGGTTTTCCCCCATTTTTAAGCCTCCGGGAGGTGAGCGTGTGGCCCCGGGGAAACCGTTAGCAGCTGCGCTCACAGATCCAAGCCTTGACGTCGGAACAGCTAATGTCGTTCCAGTGGCCGTTGGAGAAGATGGTGGCACAGTCCTCGCCTTGGTGGCCCACGTTGTTGGGTTCACCTCTGTTCCAGAACCTGGCAGGGGGGGCACACTGTTTTGGGTGGAAAACTCGCCGTTTGGGAACTTGTTGGGTTTTAGGGTTTTTTTTTTTTAAGTAGGGGGGAGTCAAGTGGAGAGCACGCATCTCCCGGGGAGGGCAACAGCCCCCCCAAAAAAACCTTCTCCCTCCATTTAATGCAGCAATGCAATTTCAGTGATTTTTCCCGTTTTCCCCCCGTTTAACATGGGAAAACGGCTCCACTTCAATCGCAGTGTTTTTCCCAAAATCCCAAGAATGAGGAGATCTGTTAGAAATAACCCCTTTGACTCACAGTGCGGGGTCTCGGTCGGGAACCGACCGAGCTGAGGGGGAACCAAGCAGGCGCTGCGGCTCCTTGCGCATTCCCACCTGGGTTTCCAGCCCCGAAACTAAAGCGAATTTGGGGGGGAAAAGCCAAAATCTCGCCTGCAGCAGGGTGGCTCCTCTTACCTTTCCCTCCACCTGGCATTTTCAGATGCTACGGCAGCACGAAACATATTTCCGTGCTTTTTAAGCACTAAACCAGAGCGGAAGGGTGTGCTGATGAGGGTGCGGTGCCTTTTTTTGAGCAAAAAAGGGGCCGAGGGAGAACAGAGCTAATTTTCTGGGGCAATTTACCCTCCGATGAGGCTAAAAACGTACGAGAGAGAGAGGGAGTGGCCGTCCACCCACTGCCAGTCGCCTTCTTTGTGCATGTCGGTCAGGCCCAGCCAGAACACCCGATTCTCCATGATGTGATTTGCCAGAAATTTCTGCAAACGGGGGGAAAAAAAAGAAGCGTCAGGAGGGGAAGCGGAAGGCGACAGCAAAGGGATTCAGCGGCGCCGAGGGCAGCACCGGCACTCGGTGACATCGGGGAGCCTGTCCCTTGCAGGGGACAGCTGTGACGTGCCACAAGCGTGACAAAAAATGCAACATTTCCCGTCAGAAATGGAAAAAAGTGCTGAAATTTCTAATATCTGGAGGAAGAAGCTTTTTTCAGACCCAATGTACTTTTTAAAAGCCGGGTCGGTGAAAGCACCCTCCTGAATGGGAGGCAGGGATCGTCTAAATTGGGGTAGAAATGCTAATTTGTGCACAGTTTGCATTATATTTCCGTAATTCCATAATTTCTAGAATTTCTAAATACCTTTTGTAATTTCTAAATAACTTTAATAATTTCTAAATAACTTCTATCATTCCTATACGATCGCGAGGAGGGATCGCCTTGGAGGCATGGCGCATCCACCCCAAACTCAGGTGAGCTCCTCTCGCACCCCGGGAGTCCCTTGGCGTCACACAGACCCCAGGAGGGGCAGCCGCTCCCCATGGGCTTTTCCCAAAAAATGCTTAAATCGCACCAGTTGTTTTGGGGAGAGATTCATCTGATTTGGCCAAATCACTTCAGAACCAAGTTGGGAACCTCAACCGGTTGCATTTTCCCGCCTTGGCGGGCAGTCTTGAGTCACCCGTGCTTAACCTCCAGCTTTCTATTTGTGGAATCGGAGTCTAATATTCCTCTAAACTCATGAAACCTGGGGGTTTTTTCGCTTTTTACAGAATTTCTCAGCTTACGTTTTCCTGCTCGGTGTCGACGATGGCCAGATGGGCGTTGAAGTCGGCGCAGGAGTCTTTAGCAGCCAGCCAGTGTTTGGTGGTGTTGGAGAAAAAATAGCAGGTTTTGGCGAACTGCTGCCAGCCGGCGGGACACCTCGTGCAGAGAATTTCTGAGGGAAAACAGGGAGGAAAAAAAATAAAGGAGAATGCGTGGTGTGAGCGCAGAGGGACGCCCGCGGGCTCAGCCCCGACCACTAACCCTCACCTGAGAGGTTGCGCATCTCCTCCAGCGCCGCGTCAAGGAGCGCCGACGCGCGGCTCTGCTCCTGCTTCACCTCCGCCAGCTGCCGCAGCACCGGCTCCAGCGCGTCCCTTTCCTCTGCCGGGGAGAGAATAAAAGGTAATTCAGCTGCCCCAAAGACCTAAAAAACCGCGGTTTTGTCTCCCTTCCCCTTTTCCTTTCCATCCCAATTTACACCGTGGCTTTCGCTGTGTGTTTTCCTGCTGCGAGTTATTGTTCTTTAAACTTTAAACTCAAAGCCCTTTCATTAAATGAGCTTTTTATTGTGTTTCTCAACAGGCTGAGAAAGGCTTTTTTCCTTTAATATTATACTTAATGATATCTCAAATTCATTAAGATTGGCTTCGTGCACTCCCAGTGTACATTTGAGGAATCTTTGGAGCATCTACCCAATACCGCGTGTTTTGGGAATCGAAAATTTAACAATTTTCCAGCAAAATCAGGCTCTCACCTGAGACTCGGAGGTGATCCGACAGCTCCCTCCCGCACCCCGCTTTGCACTGCGTCATCTTCCACCGCATGTTCTCCACTTCTTGCGACACTGGAAGGAGGAAAATCTCCACTTTTGACCCCCTCTCACCACTGCCTGCGCCTGGTATTCAGGATTCTGTCCATATTTCCCCAAAACCGCCTTTTCCTTGCATACCGTTCAGCAGTTGGCCGTGAATCACCTTGAGCTCACCAGAAAGCTGTTTATCTAAGAGGAAAATAAGAGGAGAAAGCTCAAAACAAGCCCTGACCATCTCTGTCCTGATGGAAAGCAGTTTTGGTTCATTTTTTTGCTGGAAAAAGCACCCCGGGAAGCGCCGGGGTGAAAATCCGTGCAGGTATTGAGGGTGCAGCGGGTGCCAGGGAGCCATTTCAGGGCGAGATGTCATACCGAAGGTGCGCTGGACCTCCGAGAGGTTGTGCCACGCCGTCGTGTGGCTGTTCTCACTCCGCATCCGGGCTTGTTCCAACGCCTCCCACGCCGCAGATACTGGGGGAAAGGAAGAGAGCGCTCACCTTTGCTCCTGATCTGGCCCCGGAAAGCTCGCGGGCTGAAAAAGGGCTTTCAGTCTTAACTTGGAGCCACGTTTTGCTCCATCCGCTGGTGTTTTCCCCCAAGTCGTGCCCGCCCTGCGCTCAGTGGGGCCGGTCAGAGCAAGGGGCGCGCGGCGGACTCACCTCTCTGGAGATTCACGATGGTGAGAGCCATGAAGATCACGAAGGTGAGGGCCAGAAGCACGTACAGCAGCGCGACGGCTCTCTCCAGAGACGAAGTGAGGAGGCACAGCACTGCCAAGGGGTGAAATGGGGTGAGGTGGCCCCAAATAACTCCCTCCCCCAACAGATATTTTCTTAAAGAAGAGCACAAAGAGGAGAGATCCCCCCAAAACAACCTCTCGAGTGGCTCCACCACCCTGTTCTCCACGCTCAAACCTCTTTTTCCTAGATTGTGACCCAACGGAGGAACCAGGTGTCAAAATTTGGCTATAACTTCGGAGAAAGACCGGTTTAAAGAGCTGAAACCCTCTCGTTTCATGGGATCCTCAAAGCCCCTCCCTTGCCCCGATACCTCCTTTAGGTGCTTTCCTCCGCTCTCGCTTCTCCAACTCCATCCCCTCGTCGAAATCACATTCCTCGTAGGTGCCAACACCACCTTCGCCTTGTGACATCTCTGATCCTTTTTCTTTTGATATCGCCCCAATTTATGTGGCGGGGAAGACGTGTCATCTCATCCTGGGGGGAAGGAAACGCTCGCGTTTCATAATTCTAATTTCCTAGAAAAAAAAAATCTGCACGCTCAGGAGTTTTGAAGCGGCTGATGCAGTTGGGCAGCCCCTCGCCGTGTGTCGCAGCCCCTTCCCTGTTGATTTTTAGAAGAACTGGTTAAAAAACACACTCTGCTCTCCTCAAACGAGGCTGACACCTGCCCCAAGAGGCAGGTTTTGGAGGCTCCATGCCAAAATGGCGACCGGCGTTCTCCGAGGTGAGCAACTAAATTTCCTTTTTTTTTTTGGTTTGGTGGGAATTCTTCAGCATTTTGTTCAGTGTTTTTGTGATAATTTCTTGCAGTTTTAATGCGAGAAACTTAGCGTTGTGAAAATCCTCGTTTTTGGGGGCACCATTTCCTTCATTCCTTCTCCGGAAAATTCTTTTCGTTGCCCGAACGCCCTCAGGGCTTTGAGCCAGGCGTCCCCTGGGCTGGCTATCGCAGAAAACAAAAGTTAGAACTTATGAATAACTTCACCGTTGACAATTTCAGCTGAATTTCACAGAGGCATCCTGGGAAGAGCAAACACAGCCAAAAGTTGAACGTCCCTCACTCCGGTTCCCCCACTCTCGGGGCAAGCAGCTTCCTCCTTTTGTCCGATTTCCCCTTTTTTGATCACGAATTTAGGGGAAGTCAAGGCCAAACTTCTCCCTGGGATGGCCACTCATGCCCTTGGGGCTCCGGCACTTTCCAAGAGGCAATGGAGTCGGTTTTGGGTTGAAACGCTGTGAATTTGGCCCATGCGCTCTCGCAGTTGGTTCCCCTCTCTGCTGCCAACATGCGGTTTGTCCCGGTGGCGTGGGAGAGGTTTAAAAAAAAATCTAGGATAGCGCTTTTTAAGCTGAAAGAATTGAAAACTGAGATAAAAGTCAAGAGAGGACCGAAAACACCAGCTCCCACCCCTAAACCTCCCATGTCCTTATCTCTTTAACCTTTTTTAGGGTTTTTTAACTTTTTTTTTTTTACATACTGAAGCTGGAGTGGTTGAAAATCCCTTTAAGCTCCCAAAAAAACCCCACTTCTCAGCACTGTTAAAACTATCCCCCATGGCATCTCAGCACCCCCAGGGGACAACCCCAGTGTCCCACACCCCTGTCCCTGGGGACAGCAGGACTCTTAATGTCCCCATATCCCTATCCCTGGGGAACTGGGGACTCCAGTGTCCTGGCACCCCTGGGTACATTGGGGATCCCCAGTGCCCCAATACCTGAATCCCTGGGAAAGGTGAGACCACTGTCGCCCCCATTTCTGGGGAGCTGGGGTCCCTACTGTCCCCATCCCTCGGGAGCCCAGGAGCCCCCGATGTCCCCATTCCTGGATCCCTATGGGATGGGGGACCCCGGTCACCCCGACACCCCATGCCTGGGGAACTGGGGACCCCCATGGCCCCCATACCTGTGGGAATGGAGGAACCCCCCCATCACCACAATATCCCCATCTTTTGGTAACCAGGGTCCCCTGACACCCTTGTCCCTGAGGAACTGGTCCCTGGGGACCCCCATCCTGGGTCCCCCTACCCAGGCGCCCTCCCTGAGGTAACGGAGAGTGTCTCCACCCTGGACCCCTCACCACAGAGCTGTGATCAGCTACTCGACGCTCCATAGGAGGAAGTGTCTGCCTATCATCCCCCATCAGCCAATAAGAGCCGGAAATCTCCCCAGGAAGGTGGGATCAGCCACCTGTGCTGGAGGGGTGAATGCCACCTAGTCTCTGCGCCCCCATAGGCTGCCTCACCTTCTCCTGCGCCAGCGATTGGTAGATTGTCCTGTCAATCAAATCAAAACCCTTCAGCTGAAAAGGCGGGGCTTGTTGCCCTCTCCTGTCAGCCAGGTGCCACTCCAAGCGAGATGTGGCAGCCGATTGGTCTCTCTACCTATC